AATTTAATAGTAAAATTTGATTATTTACAATGTTAACATTCATTTTAGTAGAATGGGTAGACTCGCCCCATACGAGAGATTTGTCAGCAGTTCTATAAAAATATACAGTAACAGCGTAACTGTTAATATTTTCTAAAATCGATTTCACAGCTTTAAAGAGGGATAAATAGCGATTCCGAAACACCTATTAAAAGCCTTTTTTCTTTAATATTTACAAAAGTTTGACCACTTGAAAGTTGACAAACTGAAAAAATGGGTAGACTCGCCCCGGTTTACGGTAACTTTATTTTTTATTTGGTGGCAAAATTTCCTAATTTCTTTGCAAGAAAGCTAGCTTTTTATCAAAAAAATTAACATTTATTTAGACATGTAATCAGCATCTAACTTAATAAAAGTGGCAAATAGCGTTATGATAACTTTTGAAATCTAATTATTTCAAAAAATAAATGTTTTATAGTCAGGGCCGTCTTAACAGCATGCAGGGCCCCGGGCAAAGAAATGTTTTGGGCCATTATAGCATGTCACACTGCTTAAAATCGAACTAAAATCATTTGATTTAATAAATGTATTTAAATTTGGTTTTAGTAGACCCAAAAAACCTGAATTCACATAAAAATTTCATTGGAATATAAAGAAATAGATTTCGGTTGCCTTTTTAAGATTCCCAGGTGATAAATTATTCAAATTATTGTTGTTTGCCAAAATAATCAATCACTATTTGTAGAAAGAAAAACTAACTGCACACTTTATTCAATATAATATATTTATTTTAAAAAATATATAAGGTAATTTTGTTTAGTCTTAGTTTTTTTTAAATACAATTTATCAAAAGTAAGATTCTCAAGGGCCCCCTGAGTGCCTGGGGCCCTCGGGCACTGCCCGGGAGTGCCCATGCGTAAAGACGGTACTGTATAAGGTTAAGTTTCTGTTTTGTTTAATTTCGGTTTTCAGGTTAATTACAACCGAAGGAAGGATATTTGCTTATTCAATCATAGCTACTAGTTTGAACGACTGGTTCTAATATAACTTATGTATAAACGCTTATTTCAGCATTTTTTTTTTTTAAATATACGATGTTATGCAATCAACAGAACGAATTCAAAACTAAAACCTTTTGAATTAATTAGTTTACTATTGTGTTAAAATCGTTATAATTAAATATGCTTCATGTGACCCCAATTAAAAAAATATAAGCAATGCAACCATACATTTGTTAAAGATGATATATATCCCTATCAAAATCTGCCAAGTCATTTCTTTTATTTGCAAATGACTATCTACCCTGCCTGGGAATTACAATTATTCAAATGCTCTTTTGTAGTTTTAACAAGGACGAAAGATAAAATAACTCATAATTATGCAAATATTGAAGCATTGCTACCTTTATAAATGTTTTTTATTTTTTTTATTTAAAGAAAACAGTCATATCTTGAATTTCACGTGAAGAGAAAACGCGAATATATTTTATAGATTGCTTGACGTTTAAATAATTATGGCTAAATGATCAGTAATCGCAATGATTTTTTTTTTGTAATGAATCATCTTTTTAGCTCTTTTTATAGACAGCGAATCGTCATTGTGAATATAACGAGATGGTCTTCATATTTTTGTGTCACTTTCAACTCAACCCAGAAATCAAAGTAACTCGCAATTTAAGAATCGGAGTAAAACCATACTTATGAAAGTTATAAAACTAATTTATTCTAATCAAGATCAATTATCAAATCTTGCGTTAAACGCAAAAGAAAAATCACGAATATTTTTTCTGTTTGATTATTTTATCGGTAGTATGATTCCAACTAAATGCTCATTATCTCAACGAAATTATTCTTCAATAATCAATAATTTTTTATCATCCTAGATAGATGGCCTGTCATCTTTGTGAACATAACGAAACGCTGTTCTTTCTTTTAACCTAACCCAGTGTTTCCCAAACTTTTGTGTACCCTTTCTAAATTTTTCGTAACGCTATGTAACACTAACAAAAAAAGGAATGTATTTTTTACTCTAAAAAAATTGCACATTAAGTTAGAAATCACAACTGGCTGTTGACACCACTAATTATTAACTGTTAACTCTGCAAAAAATAGCCAGTAGATAAATAAATAATCGTAAATTTTCACAGCAGCTTCGTTTTTAAAAAAAAAATTTTGTTGAAATTTTCGTTTGTTGCAAGATATTTTGAATAAGAACGCGTATCACACTTTGGGAAACACTGACCTAACCCATAAAACAAAGTAAGTCGCAATTTAAGTATCGGAGTTCAATCATATTTATGTAATTTATACGAATAATCACGGAACATTATTTAACTTTTTTAAACAGTCGGAGCTTGGTTGCTTAGCAACCTAGTAAAATTAAGTATTCCTCTTTTGAATTAGTCTATGGATTATCTTAAAATATTCATTTGCGCCGTCGACTTTTTTTGGCTGTTTTCTGGACTATCGCCAAATATAGAAATCTTTATTGTGATCCAATTTTTTCAAAATTTTGTCTGCCCCCCCCCCTTTTTCAAGGGTCGGGATTCCTAATGTGTAAAAAAAAAATATGTTTATTCAGAGAAAGAACGCTTTTGTGTCTGATTTCGTAACTTAATTAATAGTTAGCACTAATTAATTGGCCTATTTGAGGTCACCCTCAGGAGCCATTAAGATTGACACTTAGTTCATGAAAATCTGATCATTAGAACGAAAGTTATTCAGGGTGATATTTTTTTGTTGTTGCGAACTGTACCATATATGCATGTCGAATGTATGTATGAATATATGTAAAATATAAATACGCTCACTGTACGTACAATCGTACACTAATGTGTTATGCATATTTGGATACATACATTGAACATATTGTGTAGATGTATATGCATAAATACCTATATTGTACATATATTATACTGCTCATAAATAAATCATACATGCATGGGAGATAATTGTACAGACAATGCATGCATGTTTGTACAAACAAGCACTTGTATATACAGGCGCCCATGAACTTGGATACACATATAAATATTTGCATAAAATGCATGCATTAATTGTGTATAAATGTACATATCTACATTGTTTGCACACACATATGTAATCATTAGCTATATACAATACATGTGTGTAACTAAAATGTCAGTACATATGCATTGTATTAATACATATGTACATACATCTTAGTTACATTCATTCGTACTTACGCTGTATGTAAATACTTACAAAATGTATGATTATACGATAGATTATACTATCAACTGCGAAATATAATCATATAAAAGTATGCAATAGTATTGTAATCGCATATTTAGATTATATGTAATCGTATATTTTGATTAATTGCAATCATGTACAACATGTAATCATTACAAGTAATTGATTACAGTAATTGGTATGTAATCCCGATTACAGTTTTAATCAAAATTTGTAATTATGATTACAAGTAATTGAAATATGTAATAGACTACATTTTTGTTCTACTCTGATGTAATTAAAAATTATGATTACTTGTAATCGTGATTAGAAGTAATTATTTGTAATCAATTACTGTAATCGACGTCCAACTCTGCTTTCTACCCTTGAGTAAGGGAAGAAAGCATCTTTCTCCCCCAAATTCATCCTTCAGGACGGTTGAACATCTTCTCCGTAGGTGGTCTTCCTCCCTCGGAAATACTTTTACTAGGCTCACCTCTTTTTGGGTTGGTTTTCGGTGTCTTTTTCTCTCATTGCCTTTTTGAAGAACTGATATAGAGAGAATTTTAAAATCCGTTAGTTTACATTTTAATAATGGGCTTTTAATTTATTATGAAAGTTATATTCACTGTTAATTTGCTTATTAATGTCGTAGTTAGTCAGAGGTTGGTGGGCCTGCAACATGAAATTGTTATTTTTTGGGTCTATAGAGTTTTTTTATAAACACAATTAGTATGAATTTTTATAAAGCTTGCAAGTAAAACAATACCGGTTATGCCTTCTATTAAGAGAAAAAAAAGTACTACTTTTTACAATAATTTGAACATTCAGGCTGCGTGAAACAGTTTATGCTTTAATCTAATTAGAATAAAAATAATTTTAGTCCATAGCATGTTAATTTTTGAATTTTGTTTTCTTTTTTATGAAAATACCTATCCTTTGCTAAAATATACATTTTCCTATACTGGTATAACTGCTCAAAGCTAGTCAAATAAAAATATTTGTATCAAAATCATTTCATAACATAAATTTCTTTTTAGTCAATATTTTCTAACACTTTATTAAACTGTGTTATTTTTTAATAAAACAAACATTTTAAAAAGTAAAATTTTATTAATGAACAACATGTAATATACAACATTTCAAAGACCCATACAATTACAATACACATATTGTAAAAGAAAAAGCATCTTTAAATATTTGGAATTATATATTTTTTAAGTATTAGCAGTAAATCTACCGGCATTAAAAACACAAGCAGTGCTGATTGTGTATTTACAAAGAACACAATTATAACATCAAATTCAATTACAGATGGAATAAAAAAATTTTAACTTATAAAATGATAAGCTTATACAAATCAGCAAAACTTAAAGAAAAAATTTTAAAATGCATCTCAAAAATATGTTAGTTTTAAAAAACGTAGTTAGTAATTTAATAACTAATCTATCAGTAGGCTATCATTAAAAATTAAATAATACTTTTTCAAAAATATTGTGTAGAATATCTTGTTAATATTTAAAGCATGAACTTTTATGTTAAGAACTGTATTTCAAACTAAACTTAAGTTAAGAACTGCATTTCAATCCTATTAACAAATAAACTAGTTTTCAATCCTTTCCTCACTTTGATAGATTTTAATAATAATTAGTTGGAATTTGAAAATGTTTTTACCCTTTCTCACTTAATGACTCAAACTGTAAATATTTTTTTTCCTCAAAAAAATAAATAAATAAAACAAAAAATTATAATTTATACAAAGGTTATAAAAATATATAATAAAGGCAATTATTAAGGAAAAATAACTGGATAATAAAAGCTACATGGAAATATAATAAATAAAAATTTTTACATAAAAGAGATAATTAGGTATTAATACACCCGATGGCTAAAATCAAATATAAGTCATTTCATGTCGTATTTCTAAAGTATAACAAGATACAATCAACAAAATTTCAATTTAGCCTATATATAGTATTCATGAATGCAAAAGTTATGTTCCAAAATGAAAACAATTTGTCAGAAATAAAACAGAAATAGATATTTTTAAAATTTTAGCAAAGAAAGAAAAAAAAAGGCTAGCTTTAGAATTTGTTTAACTTTAATTAAAAATACCATAAAGGATATCACCTTTATGCAATCCTTTTCATTTAAATCTACAATCCTTTTTAATTTGAAAGAGGGTTTTGGTGATTTTTCTTCATAAAATTTAATAAATGCTTGAACAGATAAATTATACAATTTTATTTTCACAACACACAATCAGCAAACTGCTCTAAGTAAGGAAATTATATAATCACTAACTAAAACACTACACTAATAAAATTTTTTTAAAATTATCCAACTAAGCTCACTACATAAAAATAAAATCATAAACCACAAATACTAATACTACATATAAAATTCTAGAATTAAAAATATTCACTGTTAGTATTGAATAACATTACAAAAATAAGCAAAATAAATAGGACAGTAAGTCAGTTTCCTTAAAAAAAGAAAAAATAGAGAGCTAAAATTGCATAGTCTCAATACATAATCCAATTATCATGCATAATTGGAATATATTTATACAGTAGGGAACCGATTATCCGGAACGATCGGGACCATCGCTATTCCGGATAACTGATTTTTCCGGTTTTCTGAATCNACATAATCCAATTATCATGCATAATTGGAATATATTTATATATTTGTATTAATTTGCTAAAAAGCAAAAATCAAAATGATCAATGAGTTTTCGATGAATGAGTAAGGCAAAATTCCATTGATGAATAAAAGGACTCCATACTGTACATCTTGTTCTTATGCCCAATACAAGTTTGATTCAAAAGAGAAAAATATAAAGCTTTGCATGAATTACTGAGAAATTAATAAAATTGCTTTTATGTCCTTTATATGTACACATAAATATAATTACCAGAGTTTTATTTCAGAATAACTATGAGACACAATTTTTAGTCTCAATGAAAAAAAAATTTCAATTATGCAACTGTCGCAACTAAAGTATAAATTATGTGATTTTTTGCATATCAAATTTTTTAGGAAAGCCACACTGAAATTAGTTCACAACTGTCAGATATCTTGACCTCGTAGAGTTAATAAAAACAAGGGAAAAAATCACTGATGAGACATGCAGTCCAATTTAAAGATATTGAATATCAAGTCTAACAAGTCCTGAAAATGCAGTTACAGAAGAAACCTTTTCGTATTATCCTCACTATCTCAATAAACTCCAATCAATTTTCATTTAGTATGAAACATAAATTTTGTATATATTCTGTAATAACTAAAATATAAAAACAAATTAATTATTTTAGATTTATAAGTACATTTACATATTTAAGTTTAGATACTTTTTAAAATATTTTACTTAAAAATAATGACTATGAAAACAGATAAATTATATTAAAGATGCTTTTCGAATTTCTTTAGACAAGAGAGCAAGCACTTTAAAATTAAGCTTTTACTTTTATACTATTAATATTTTAATATTTAAAGAATTACGATTTTTTTAAAAAAGATATTAACAATGCGGTCAATATTTTTTTTCACTTGGATGAAAATTATTATAATCATTGAATAAATTAAAAATAAGATTATAAATGCTTTTTCCTAAATTTGGAGTCTTTTCCTCTTCATATTGAATCAATTTTGCATCACTCTCATAGAGGATGTTGGTTACAGATGGACAAAACTCATTCAAACAGTTATAAAAATAGCACATAAAATGTGCTCTTTTAGATGACTAAAGAGGCTTTGTCAACAATCTTAAATGACCTTGACAAATATAGTCATCTCTTAAATAATTTTAAGGTGAACAGGCAGGCATGATAAACGTATTACTTAAAATTATTAAATGTTTTGCATCTTCCAATGTTATTCATCAACAATTATACTTATCACAGGATTTAAAAGTTACTTATAGTAAATGAAGTATAAAGAAAATTAATAAAATATATCAGTAGAATATTTATTTTGATAAATTCAACCATAATATAGTTTGGCAATTTAAAAGAAAAACAAAAATAAGAACAGAAAAAGGTTCATTTGCAGCTAATTTTCTCTTAGAATTAAAAACAGTTATGGTTAGCTAAATTTCTAAATCTAGCAACAATAATACAAATAAAATAGTTACCCTTTTGATTCATAAAATGCATCAAATTAATTATCACAGATAAACCTTGGAACATTAAAAAAAAAAAATTTTTTTATGGGAAAAAAAAGAAAGTCTAATGTAAATGCAAATATTACAGGAAAACATACTTTAAAAAACTTTTATGCTTTTCTTTCTCCAATAAATTTTGCTATTCTGGAGTGATGTTAATCACCTGCATATGATTATTACATAAAGAGTTAGGAATTCATTATGATAGTAAATCATATCAAGATGCTTTATTTTTTACAAACCTAAGTATCTTTTAAACTTCTTATTGACTAAATCTACTCAAATATATTAAATAAATAAGAAAAATTCTTTTAATTTAATTTGACAGGAATTAAAAGTGAATACTAAACCTATTTTAATACATTATCCAGATTAAAATAATATATAATTCATTTAAAATTTTACATTAATAATAAAAGTATTGGTTTTAAAGTCATGGAAGAAAGGTGGAAACGCAGATGTAAAATATTAGTTTTTTTAAAAAACTAATTTTTATATTGTGATATGCTTGGCTATTTGATATTATTGTAATGATAAAAGAAAAGAAGGAAAAAAAAAAGAGAGAGAAAAGACAGGCAACTTTAAAAACACTCATTTTTCACAAAACTTATAAATATTATTCTAGAATTAGTAATTAAAGTAAGAGAGCTATGATTTTATCATAGATTACATCAGTTTGAAAGTACATGAATTTAAGTTTATTAACAGGTTTTTAAACAAAAATAAAAAAAAATTTCTCAATCATAAATGATTCGAAGCAGATAAAAGTATATAAATCAGACATATTCAGCATACAAACAAATTAAAGTTTATTTTTGGTTATTTTGGGTACATTTCCTCGTAAAAAATACACTGAAAGCTTTATTTCTAAGTAGTTAAAAAAAAAACCATTTAAGTAACATAAATAACCTCTACACAGCTGTAAGAGTATAAATATTTGTCTAAAAATAATTATTGCATGAAAATTGTATGCAATTTTTTTTCACAAAACAGTGTTATTCAATTCCCTTGTACTCAGAATATTGAATTAATTTACATCAGTAAGGATGTAATTTGCATTTGAAGAAGAAAAAAAAAACTCTAAAATCTAATTTATCATATTTTTCACAATTTTGCATTGCGCACTATTCTTTTTATATGCATAAAAACTCAATATAATATAACTATACTTTTAATGAAATAATGTATTCCACTAACTGAAATAATATGCATCCGCTATTCAAAAGTTTGAATGCAAATAAATATTTTTCCATAAAAATAAAAACCTACAAAATGTTTTTAAAACCTTATTTTTTGAATAAATTTGCATTGCTGATTAAAATTTGATGTTTTTAAATCAAAATAATTTTATTATACTTTTGTTTAGTATTGCTAGAAAAACTTCATGAATGGTAAAATAAACAATTTTAACATAATTGCAACAGGGAAAGGAGGCTTGCATGAAAACAATAAATTAATACAGCATTGCAAGCCTCCCTTCTTACAAACATAAATATACAAGTTACCGCACTCCCTCATCAGGACCTTTATTCATTGTATTATAATTTGAAACAGGACTTTCTATTGCTATATCTTGTAACACAAAATTTTCATTTTCTTGTTTCCTTTTATTGAAGAAGTCTGAAACACAAAATACCTAAAGAAGAACAAAAGAATTAATGATTGTTCATAAGCAAGTTGATAACCAGTGACATTTTCAGCAAAAAAAAAATCAAATAATATAGAAGGAAAAAGATTCGTAAGACGTGTGCTACAGCACTCTGAGCTGAGTTTGAGCACTTAAGTTTATATGATCTTCCTTTTTTTTCGTTAAATCTTTACGTTTTTAGTATGCTTGTGAAAGCATGACTCACAAAATTCTGTGAGGTCTATTTTAAAATAGCCAGAAAATAATTTAAATAACCAAAAATCATTTAGAAGGTTTTAACAGTATAATTATATATTGTTATTATATCACATGAAGAGCTTTAGTGAATTTGAGTAAATGAGCTGATTGCGATCAAAATGTGAGATAATTTAGTTACATCTAGAGGTATTTCTGAAATTAAATACAAGTATTTTTGTTAGTTTTAATACAAAAATAAAAATAATTTTCAATTTTTCATTAAAATAATGCAGTTTCATGCAAAAATGACATATTTTAATTAATTAAAAATGTTTATTAGACAGTTTCCTTTGTGTGATTAACTACGCATTCACGATTAGTTAGATGATTCTCACTTTTTTTTTTATTATTTTAAACTTCTTAACTTGGAATCTAGATGTCAAGAAAACACCTGTTTGAAGAACAAAGTCATATTCATCTTCAAGAAGAATTCAAGTGAAATTAATCAGCAAAATGGAGGTAAGAACCACAAAAACCTCTTGTAGTTAGCCCGATATGTTTTTACCAAAGTATGATTTGCATATGTTTCCATGTAACTTCTACAAATTTTTCAGGCAATACCTTCATTTTTGTCTTCAGTAACTGTATAATTTGAATTCCTTTTCCTGTTAGCAGGACTCTTTTCCCAGCATACTTTTTTATTCTAAAGCTCCGTGATAACTCACACGTGCTAATTATACAAATATACAAATTTTTTGATATAGGAATCTTCAAAACTCCCCCATAAAATGTTATAGCAGCGCAAACAGTTTTGAGACCAATCAGGGAACCTTGTTTGAGATTTTTAACATGCATGTCGTTATTAATACTGAACTCACTTCTTACAGCAGCATTGCCATGTAATAATATAAGCAGGGATAGAACAGCAGCATAATCATTTTGGAGCAAATAAAGTCTGATTTTTAAAGCATAGTGCTTCTAAAATTCAATTTTTGAGCACATAAATTAACATTTCATATCATACTAGCTGAGATCCCGTTCTTAGTTAGGGAGCGAAAAAAAATTTATTAATTGGTTATTTAAGAGATTATGTTCAAATTTGAAATTTATATACCAACACAATTAATAATCCATTAGAAATATTTAAGATAAATAAAAAACTAACAGCCATAGGAAAAAAAGAAGTTGAAAATATGAAAGCGAACAAAAAAATCCCCTTAATTCATTAAATAAAAATTGAATGGTAAAAAAAATATTATTTTCAGGTAAAAAAAAAAAAGGATCTACAAAACGTCAAAGAAACCTAATCTATCTGAAACGCCTTTAAGAATTCTGTGTTATCAGGAAAACGCTCATAAAAAGAAAAACATTATATATGAAAATGAAACAAAAAATAAAAATCCATCTTAATCCTTGAAAGAAAATTTTTAACTGAACATCTCAGCTTCTCAGTCCAATTTCTGTATTTTCAAGAGAAAGTGAAGAAAGAAGAATTAAGTCTAATAGAAACAAACCCTCTATACTGTGTCATAATAATGTTGATAATAACAAAAGCTTTTTTTTGAAAATAAAAACCTAGATAGAAGGCAAGAAAAAAATCATCCTTAATTTTTAAAAGAAAAATTTAATGTTAAAAACCTCAATTTTTCTTCACATGGCCATATTTTTTTTTATTTGAAAAAAAAAAAAAAAAAACTAAAAGAATAATGTTTATTAGAAATGTTCTTTAAAAATGCTATATCATAATAAAGCACTGATGAAAAAGTTAATAAAAAAATCAAAAGACAAATAGAAAAGAAATTGTTCTTAGTTCTTAAAATATTACTTTAACATTGAAAATCACAGTAATCTTGTGAAAGGTTCTTACCGTGCAGGAAAAAAAAGTGACAATAAAAGAATAAAGTCTATCAGAAATCCTCTGATAAAATAAAACACTATAATAAAAACAGCAAAAACAAAACAAAAAAACAGCGACTCAATCTTTATAATAAAACACATTGAAATATTTGATTAAATTGGCATTTGGCCAACTGAATGTTCTGCAAAAAGGCTGAATAGTGGCAGAATATTCGAAATATCTCTACCTATTACCAAAATTAATTAAACACCATTCAAATAAAAACGGTAGGGCGTTTTTTTTTTATGTTTCTTTTAAAATAAGTCATACCTTTTCTCCATTAATTTTGCTTTTTAGAATATATAGCTAATTAGTACATATATATAGACTTTTGTGCATAGGTTGTCAGGCTACCAAACGGATACTATTACCATTTAATTCATCATCATTGATGACAATAATGTTAGGCGATTTTTTACGATCTCCTAAAGGAATTAGTGCAATTTCTCCAATAATTTCGCTTTTTAGAACGTTTCTGCTGCTTCAAGTAATAACTAAAATCAAAATTAATTAAGCATCACTGGATTCAATAATAGTACAGTGATTTTTACGGTTTTCCCGAGTACCTTTTAAAACTAATATTTTTTTTTCATTTTGAATGCCGTTGATTTTAACAATTTAATTTTATAGAAACACATTTCAAAAGCATAACTGTATACAATGATTTCAGATAAATTATTGTACTATAGTGTGACATAGTCATCCGCCATCATAGTCATCAATATAAACGAATGTTATATATTTAAATAAAGTTATATTAAGAACTTTCCCGGAAAAAACTCAATTTTTTAAAAATGTCACTAAGGTAGTTCTTTAGCTAAGCTGTTCAAATAAGAAATCTTAAATATCTAATTACGTTAAAAAATTATAATGAGAATAAATAAAATTAATATTCTTACATTGATTGAGGCAACGAGGGTTCCTAGAAGAAAACCAATTAAAACATCACTCCAATGGTGCTTGTAGTCTGAAATTCTTGATAAAGCAGTGTACCAAGTCATCATAATTAAAATAAATTGTATAAAAGGCTTCAAAAGTTTGTTTCCTTTGACACACATGCAGCTTTGAAGATAAAGCTTAAAGAAAAGAAAACATCAAAACAAATAGATCATAACTTTTGTTTGTTTAATAATAATAACAGCTAAACATAAATAAAAACAGGCTATTATTTGGAAAAGCATTTTAACACAAAAAGTTAAAAACAAATATTGCTAACATTCCCTGTGGCAGNTATAGTAGTTATATCAGGTACAGAAACAAATCAGGTGAAAAAATTAATATTGAAGTTGAGTAATCAAAATAATAAAATACGAGGTATATCCACAAAGTAAGTTCCGTTTCTATTTCTATCCGCGGTAGCTCTGCGATCGCAGTTCCGAGCATGTGCGCTAGTTACTCTGACTCAAGCAGAAGAATTGTGCGCCCTTTTCAGATACCTGCTGCCGATATGTTCTTTGTAGTGCTTCTTTATGATGTCAGCCTTAATTGAAAATGCCGCCGCTTGCGAATTCAGATCTGTGATTCGTTTTCTAAATGCAAAGAAAGTTAAACCATGTGAAATTCATCGGCAAATCTGCGAGGTTTACGGACAAGCTGCTATGAGTGATTCAATGGTTAGAATATGGGTCAGACAGTTCAATGAAGGACGTGATCAAGTCCACGATGAAGAACGATGTGGACGCCCGTCTTTGGTTACTGATGAACTGCTTTACTCAGTTGAAGAGAAGCTTAAGCAAAACCGTAAGTAACCGTAAGACTGGGACGTGTTTGACCATCCTCCGTGCAGCCCTGACCTCGCTCCTAGCGACTTTCATCTTTTTTTACACCTAAAATCTTTCCTTGGTGGTCAACACTTCAACGATGACGACGAGTTGAAAGAACATGTTACTACGTGGTTGAAAACACAGACGGCGACCTTCTATGACGAAGGAATACAAAAACTTGTGCCACGCTATGACAAGTGCCTACAAAATTTCGGAAGCTATGTAGAAAATTAGTTTCACAGTTGTAGATTTTTGTGCAATAAATATTATTTCTGTATCTGGACACGTTTTTTTTTATATAACAAAACGGAACTTACTTTGTGGATATACCTCGTAGTATTGACTATAACCGAATTCTAAAAGCAAAAAAATTAAAGCAATGTTTGTTTCAATTTTTTCTACATCTAATTAATTTTATCTAATTAATTAGATTCGATTAATATTGTACTGACTTACTGAAAGATTTTTTTTTTTAAAAAAGGAGGTAAATAAAACTTTTTTCGTGATCAGATTAAGTTCAGAACGAAAAAAATACACAGCGCTTGTGATTTCGCACTGTATTGTGTAAATATATAGCACTGATGCCACACGAAGTATGCAGAAGCAGTTTCCGACTCAATATGCTCAAGTCTAATCAACATCTCGAAACGAAATAGTCTTTATCAGTACTGAAACATCGGTATTAGAGCCATATTCATTGGATGCGTTTTTTTTCGCATGCGTATGGAAACCTGTTTGAAAGTGACCAGTAAATATTTTCCACCAATCTGGTTTTCATTCGCATGCTAAAAAATCGTAGATAGTGAGATATCTTTCAGGCTTTATTTCATTTATCGTTAGATTGCGTTTTTTTTTTTATTGACGATTTAATTCAAAGCATATAGGCATTTTTAGATGTTGTCGACTACCATCTTATTTCTTTTTCGGAATGCCGCCTTGATAAATCAGTTTTCAAATTTGTTTTAATTATTGTGGCTTCACAACTGCAACAAATAACCTTTTCGCTAGACATGATTTTTTTAAAAAAGAATCTTTTTACGCATGAAATTTTCAACATAAGTGCAAAAAATATAAAATGCTCTGTTCTCATAAAAAAACACAAAGCAAATTTCTGCGCCAGTGATAGAGGCCGAAGTTGGCAAATTTCCAAAAATAGCTTAATAAAGGGGAAAAAAATTCACCCCTTTTTATCCAGTAACTGTTTGTGTTGGAGATTAACGGAGAATTACGAGCGCTTTCTCCTTCCGCGGTACGCTAGAAAAAAAAATATTTAAAACAATTCTGTAAGAATTTTTTTTTTGTTGGTAAAACAGCTTCTGTTTCTGCAGAATTTATTTTGAGAACTTTTGTTTGTGGCAAACCAAAAATTTTTATTTCCCAAATAAAAAAAATCTTTCTGCAAGAACTCAGTCGCTTTCTGCGACAATGTCGCTGTGTTTCTGCCACGGGGCTAACATTTGACATGAGCATTAATATTTTATAAAGGATGTTTAACTATTTTGCTTCATTAATTCAGTTCTGTAAAAAAAATCATAGAAGAGCACTGCAATTTTTCATGGAAATGCTAAATCGGAAATTTCTTACTACATTAGACACAAAATGAATAAGCACAAAAGATTGAAAATTATGGACTGTTCTAATATATATTATTATTGCAATTACGAATAGAGTTTCTGAATTTCAACAACATGTTGGTAAATTCCTTCAGCTTTTTTTTCCCTTTTAACATATATATATAT